ACGTGACACCTACATAAACGTAACGTGACACCTATGATTTATGATAACATTCAATTGTCATAGATCATATCTACATAAACGTAATGTAACGTGACACCTATATAAACGTAACGTGAAGGAAATTGAATGTTGCCATAGATCATATTTATATGAAACGTAACGTGACACCAATATAAACCAGTAATATTTTCACGTTCAATTTAAAAAAATAAAAACTCATTAAGTTTGCGAAACATAACGTGACATGTTACGTTACGTTTATGTAGGTGTCACGTTACGTTACGTTTATATAGATATGATCTATGGTAACATTCAATTTTCTATATATGGTTTTACTATTATTTATGATATTAACTACTAATATTGATGGTAAATATGTCAACAAACTTCTCACAGGACTTATGAAAATATAAATTTTTTAGTCAAACCATATGTAGCATAAATCTCCTAATAGAAGTTATAAATAATTTTTTCAATATTAAAAGAATAAAATTTGGTCAAACGAACTAGGCGGGTCGCTGTCTATCCCTATGTGGTGGTGGACGTGGGGTGTGATGGGGCGGGGGTTGGTGCCCCGTGCCCACATGGCATTCCATTCTCCGGCCAAGCACGTGAACTGTTAGGTGTATTTATGGCAACCACATTATTCACATGGATTTAATGGGCCTCAATTACAGTGATCTTGTCTTTAGTAAAAAAAATTAATATTTAGTTTTTCGTTTTGAGAAAGTCTATTAGGTGCACTCTTTTTTTTGGTACATATAGTATGTATCTTATATAATAAAATATTATTTTTTTCATAAAAAACAATTGTTTTGTCACCAAAAATATAATTTTTTTTTTGTTTTTTTTTTTTCATTTTAATAAATTTGTTCACAACCTGTATGTATTCAGTACAACCTGTGATAGGTATACAAACAAATCAATATATATATTATCACCTATTCTGTAATGCATGTTTCATTTACAACCATCAAACAAAAAAAAAAAAAACCTTACAATATAAACTTATATACAAACCAACTAATATATTCCAATTACGAATAATAACGTCATACATTCCAAATGTCCTACCAAAACAATGTCCTCTACACATAACATTTTTACTATGCTATGTATTGTAATGACCATTTGGCTGGTAATATGTACCACAACAAAAGATAATCTATATATATCACCAAAGCAATTAAAACAAGTTCCAAAAATTATTTGTACGATTCATCCAAATTCCACACAAAAAGTAGAGGACGTCCAAAAACTTTCCAATGTTGCACAACTGTGAATTATCTACCAGACAAAAAAATAGAAGACCCACATGTCAATGCCAATAGCCATTTACACAACAAAAATTACACCCATTAGTTCCATTGTAAACACAAATTTTCAACAAAAAATTACAACCATCTACAGAACACAAATTGCAAGGATGTCAATTGAAATTGTATTTAGGGTTACTTTGAATTTAGGAAGTATTTAGGAAGTATACAACCATCTACAGAACACATGTTTAAGCAAGCGGCCCGGACTGGGCAATGAAGTCCACATAACGAGTGAAGCAAAGCCCATTACAAAGACATACATGATAAAGCTCTTTGTATTACCCAAAAAAACAAAAACAAAAAAGCCCTCTGTTTTGTGCACTCTGACTGGAAATTTATTTTTCAAAACCCACCTAACAGAAGATCTGTTGTTACATAAGCAGCACAATTCATGTACCAATAATTCAGCCTGCTTGCAGACAGATCGAATTTAACTGCCTTTGCAACGAGTTTAACTGGAATAGACCCAATATTATTACTTCAAGTATCATAAGAAGTTGACCTAGTAAATTCATTTAGTCCAGGATAATCGTCCAATATTAATTTACAGATATTAATAATTCAGTTAGTAGGTTGGGTCATATGAATTATTTAACAGGATAGCCCAGACCATTTCTTGGAATCCAAGCATAACTGGACCCAAATTGCTGTGCAAGCTTTATGATATGGATGGTGCCTTAAATCCTTTAATTTTTCCTACTCATTGGAGTATTTTTTGTTAAGGATATGGCAATATTATTTTTTCTTATACCGTCTCTTACTTTGGGCGTACTGTGTTAAGAAATGAAAATGTTTTTGCTCAGTTGTTGCAGGGGCTTAGCTGGACATTACGCTGGTTCTTCATAAGCAGATCATGGAGATAAGTAAGTCTTTATGTACACAGTAACACAGAAATGCATGCTAGATGACAAGCATTCATTTTGATAAGCGCTCTTCTTTTCTCTCTCTGAACGCAGGTAGGAAATTCTTTAAAGCATGGTTAGTTTTTGAATCTATGTTCATTTGGTCTTTAAATCTTCTCATGTAGGATACATATAATCTAAATTTGTTTCTCATTGTGCATGGCTGGCAGTTGATACTTCTAGATGTGATATCTGCCATGTTAGGTTCTAGGTTTTAACTTTTATAAGGTGCAAAATAAGAGGCAGAATTCTCTTTCTTTATCCTTATTATAACATCTGCCTT